TAACTTTGCTCCATCTTGTTCATGTGTTGTCTCAGTCTCAAGCAGTGTTTGTTGTGTTTTATCGCCAGATTGATGTGGCATGATGGTTGATCCTGTACTATACTCAGAGCTGGCTGGGGAATCGTGGAGATCAGGTTGCCTAAGGAAGATCGGTGACTAGTCAGACGCTCTGAACCATAAGGTAAAGCCAAAACCATGCATAGAAAATTGAAGTGTGGGTGAATGGAAGTAATATTTACCTCCAAGATGGTTGACTCTCTTCAGTGCTACTCCTTGGGGTGTGAGACGCACCTAGTCATGCGATATGACTAGGGTTTACAGCTAGTCCTACGGTGCGAGGCCATACGAACATGATTGTGAATGTATTTTGATGTGACATGAATTTATACATGATGTAAATGTTGTGTGTTGTGATTTATCGTTTTAACACTGTTCTCGCTGAGAACGGGTTTTACCGGGATCAACCCGGGTTATTCACTAAGCAAATGTGTTTAGCCCTCATAGTTTCATTTTTTTTAGATCATGAGGAGCACATGTAGCAATTTGGACGACGACATCGAGGAGACAACATCGCGTACGGATATTTTTCTACTGTATGTTTTGAACTATGGAACATGGTTTCACGTTTGTACGGTTGTGTTTAATTACATTTTTGGACATGTGTTGTTTTAAAAGACATATGATGTTATATTCCGCTGCGTGTTTATATTGAAAAGTTTGAAAATTCCCGTGTTTCGTTTTTGTTACATTATTGATTTTAGTCCATGTGACGCAATCTATTACGGGAATTGGGATACGGGTGTCATATATATCATTATGATTCTCGTTTTACAGATATTCCAGAGATATTTATGCTAACAGGGCGAATAAGTGGTAAATGAGAGGAACATTGGTTAACCATACAAGAGTACAACCGCATCGCTACTTATATCTTGTTGAATTGCGCAGAATTTCATCATTACGAGAGATACAAATTTTTTTGAAATATATACGTACATATATACTTTGAATATTCTAACATACAATATATATATATGTGTGCAGAAAATTTGAGGAGCAAGTTTTGGGTACTTACCCAAACTTAAATGCGGATGCCTTCGACGAATTGAAGCAAAAAAAACTACGATCTTGGTTAAGAGAATATGTAAATATATTATATTTTGGACTAAATTAATTTGATTACATATATATGTATTAAATAATTAATTAAATCAAATATTTTGTAGGTTCAGTCTTTACGTGATGAGAGAATTGCAATATGGGTGTAAGATTTATCGCAAGGGCCAAGAATAAGAGTGATTTGTTGGCCGATCATGTACACGCGTGGATACACATTTCACACGTATGAACATGAAAAACAGCGTAATACGTTCAACTATGGAGTGTGCATCAAAAATTTGAATTATAGTGATTCATCAGATGATCCAGATTTTTTGGAGTTCTACATCAGATCATTCAACTCCAATATCTCGGGATTGTCAGATTGAAGACCTTAGTTTTCCGATGTCATTGGTTCGATACAACACTGGACGCGGATCGCATAAAAATCGATGAGGAGGCATTGATATCAACCCAACGCGTGCATATCCTAAATATGATCATTTTATTCTCTCAAATCAAAGTGATCAAGTTTGTTTTATTCCAAATCCTAAATATCCTATATCCGCGCATAAAAGACGAAAAGAAGATCAATGATTAGTTATGGTGAAAATTAATCCCCGGGAAATGGTGAATTCAACAGTTGAAGATTCAGAAGAAGCAATGCAAGATCCGAGTAAAATTTCAGTACTTCCAAATCGACTAGAAGATCATGATGATAGACTTGCACTCGCGGATGTAGAAGACGAAGATATAATTGATAATTCCACTTCTATTGAACCCGATGAATTTATTTTCGAACATGATGAAGATTCATTGTAATATAGATTTGATATTATTTTATATGTTTGATATGTTATATACATTTGGGTTTTCTTTTTATCTTTCTACGGTTTATTTTAAAAAAAAAATTAAAACCTATTATCAACGAAATTTTGTTGATAATATAACCGGAATTCCGTTACTACAATATCAACGGATGTCCGTTGTACCCGAACAAACAACGGACATCTGTTGTTAATTAATCTGTCATTGTAGTTAATGCATCAACGATAACAACGGACGTCCATTGATGTCGTTTCTAGCCAATCGGAGCGTCTTGAAGACGATGAAAAAGGCAACGAACATCCGTTGATAATCGGATATATCAACGGACATTCGTTGATGTTGCTCATAAATCACGCTCAGGGTTTTTTTCCCTCATTCTGAATCCGAGCATTGCAATCGCGCCTCTCGCCCTCTCTCGTTCTCGCAAAAAAAATGGTACTTTTTTATTTTTTATTTAATTTTTCATTATAATATATATTTTATTATTTATTGATAATAAATTAATTATTTATTGATAATTTGTTATTTGTTGTAGTTTGCAACAAGATTCCATAGAAGCGGTGGATTGCTAGCAGGGTCTTCCGGAGCATCCCCACCACCACCTCCACCCCCGTCACAACTTCCTCTTCCTTCGGATGCTTCTTCTATTTTCAACGAAGATACCATGCTTGACATCGAAGCAATGTTGGATTCATTCGACGATCGCACCATTCCAATCATCGACCCGGACCGCGATAATGCATTATGGTATATTTTTAAATATTAAATTTTGAATTATTTATTATAACCAATTAATAATTATGTAGGTTTGGTGTCAATGATGATGAGATCAAAAATACATTGACCAAGATAATTACAGCGCGTATGTCTCAACTGTATTATTCTTGGACCGTTGCTCCATATTACATTCGACGACAATGGTGGTTATCTTTTATTGTAACTATTAAGATAATAAATATTAATAACTGTAATTTTATAATTATTATAATTTAATGTAATACTAATTTGTTTTTTTTTATTTTGTAGCAAATATTTCGGCGGAAGAAATTGATCACCGAAAGAATTTTCAAAGAGTTCAATGTGTTAGGACAGACGATGATTAAACTTTTAATGAGCAATGCGAAGAGAAAGTTCGACAGAAAAGGCGAACGACTGTTGTGGGCGATAGACGATATTTTCAATCAACTTTTAGAGCGTTGGAATTCTGCTCATTTCAAAGATAAGAGTCGAAAAGTGAAAGAAAGTCGTCTTACCCAACAAGTTGAAGGAGATGGTCCTCACCGTCACACCTCCGGTACCAAATCTTTTAGAAAACAGGCGAAAGAGATGATATATATTCTTTATATTTCAATATTAAATGATTATATAATTAATTTAATATTATTAATTTATATATTAAATTATATTTATAGCAAAAAGGTATGGGAAGGAAGCCGTCTATTGTTGAATTGGTTGATTGATTACATCCCCGATTACTTTGTTCGACAAAAGGTCAATTTATCGGACACAAGACGTTCTGATGGTCAATTCATCGATCCCCGAGTTGAAGCGTACTCGGAAGAGTCAACAAAAAATTATCTCAACTCTCACAATCCTTTTTTCTACCTTTAAGGTGGAGAACTGAAGTAAGAATTCTCTTTCTTTATCATCCATCGTCTTCTGCTACAAATATATCTCCGACCAAACAAGACAAATGTTATATTTTATTTACTTATTTATTTAATTAATGTATTATTTAATAATAATAATATAATTGTATATTTTATTTTGTACTGAGCAGCAACGTCGTATAGAACATCTCGAGCGATCGTTGCAACATTGGAAGGAGCAGATGGAGCAATGATTGGCAGAGCAGCGAGCGAAGTGGGAAGAGCAGCAGACGAAGATCGCTAACTCGAATAAATTGTCGAGCTGTTTAGAGATGTTCATCCTCGCGCCTCCACATCATCGCCTTCATCGCATGGCGGTGATAACTCCGGTGTTTAAATCCGAGGGACGACGGAAGACAAGAAACCGACAGTTTAAATTAGTTTTTATGTTGTTATTTTACTTTTTATCGAACCTCGAACTTATCGGATATATAATTTTATGTTTTTAATATGTTTTATTTAAAGATAATATATATTTATATATTTTTAAATTTTTTATATATTTATAATTATATATTTATAAAAAATTATATATTATATATATAATTATATAAATATATAGTAACGGAGTATCAACGGATATCCGTTGATATATTAACTATTACCAACGGATGTCCGTTGATAATATACCGTTACAATATTGGCAACGTCAAATTATCAACGGATCATCCATTGCACATTTGCAACGACATATTTGCAATGAATATTTCAACGAATATGTCGTTGAATATTGTAACGAATATACTGTTGATATTAGCAACGGTCTTTCCGTTGCTATTCCGTTACAAATTATCAACAGATTTGTCCGTTATATATCCGTTGATAACTTGCAACGGATTTGACTCGTTGCAATTCTGTTGCCAAAATGCAACGGATTGTAACGGATGTCGATTTTCAACGAAGTTTTTGCAATGAAATACGTCCGTTGATAAATCCATTGAAAACCATGTTTATCAACGAATTTTGGACCGTTTTCAACAGATATATTCGTTGATATTGCTGGTTTTTCTTATAGTGCTAAAAGTCCTTATAGTAGTTTAAAGGTATTTCAGATATATTGTTAATTCAAACATATGATATGGTGTGATGATTCATAATTTGGATATCCGTTAATATTTAATATTCATATATGTTAATTCGTAATAATGGTAAACAATGGTGTATTATTATTATATTAAAAGTAAAATTACATCACTCTGCGATAAAATTAATTTGTTAATGATTTTAGATAGGATTTTCATACCTTAAAACCTACAATGTATCAAATTTTTGTTATTCGAATATATTTCATAATAAAACTTTTGTCAATCCACGGACAGACAAAGTTCATAAACCAAACATATCAAATTTGATTTGAGTTTTTCCAATTGGATCTAACTAAAACCGAATTAAAACCAATAAAAATCTAAAAACCTAAAAACCAAATTGAAACCAAAGAACCCGAAACACTAACCCTAAACCAAACTGAAACCAAATAAACCGAACTAAACCAAATTGATTCATGCATTTATTATGAATGAATATGAATTCCCATCCCGACGATGGACTAATATACAACAGACAATGAATGAATTACAAAACAAATATTTGCAAAACCTAAAAACATTAAAGAGGGAACGGAAGGGAAAGATGAGGATTTTTACCTGATGAAAACATTCATGTAGTATTAACCTTCTCTAAATTTGTTCGGATTTGCGGATCAGTTGTATGAGAGCATTGGCTTTCCTCTGTGCCCTGTTCGTCCCTGAGTTCCTTATCTCTACCAGATGTTCATACGCACCAAACTGAAGCGCCGCTAGTATGAACGACGAGTTGTTCGAGCCTAGCTCCAGCAGAACAGAGGCTGCACATTCTTTGTTCTTGGGCGTGCCTTCTCGGATGAAATCCACGAGTGTTTCGATGAATGAGAGTTGCCCGATGACGTGGCGCCCCTCGGGGTGCGATGCTAGAAGCAAGAAAACAGAGAGGGCTTCATCAATCATGCCCAGGTTTCTGTCTTTGAGGAGCTGGAGAAGAGGTTGGACGATACCGGCATCAATGGCTCTCCCTTTGTTAGCTGAATTGAGGGACAAGTTGAACAATGCAGTGAGAGCGTCTCTCTTGCCTCGTATAGTCCCGTTTTGAAGCAGATCAACCAACGGGGGAATCCCATTTGATAACCCAATTGTCACTTTGTTCTCATCGAGCATTGATAAACTAAACAAAGCTGCTGCAGAGTTTTCTCTCGCCTCGGTGTTTCCACTTTGCAGAATTTCTACTATGGCTGGAATGGCTCCTTCGTTTGAGATGAGTTTCTTGTTGTTCTCGTCGATAGAAAGATTCAACAGAGCCGTTACTGCGTTTTCTTGGATTCCAGAATCAGGGTAAGAAAGGAGCTGTACCAATGGCGGGATCCCTCCTGCATTAGCTATTAGAACTCTGTTTTCGGGATTCTCTCTGGCAAGCACACGTATCTGTTTCACGGCTTTCCTCTGCCTTTCTAATTGGCTCGATGATAGTTCTTCCACCAGATATGATGCTTCTTCATTCTGCTCTGAGTCGCACCTCGAGCAGGAAGGGACTTCCTTTTCAGGAAGCTTGAAGTTGTTCTTCTCACACCACTGCCAGATCAAGTTCTTCAGAGCATAATTAGGGGCAAGCGAAAGATGACCCAGCGTCTGTCTCGTTTTCGGACATGTCCTGTGGCCTGCATCAAACCATTTCTGTATGCTTTCCTTCTCATACGTCTATCACAAAAAAAAACACAATTACAATAATACATTTCGATATATATACAAGCCTCTAAGCCAAAGAAAAATGGAAGAGTAGTACACATTTAGTTAGTTACCTGTCCACTTGCGATGATAACTGGGTCTACCATTATTTCCAGCGTGATCGGGCAGAGAAACTCATGAGGAACTATAAGCGAGGTAGACTTGGTTAGCAATTTAGGCACCATGGGCTCGCGAAGAATGTCAGTTTCTTCCAAACCTAAAAGATTCTTGAACTTATTAAGAAGATCAATCATCTGCTGCATAGTCTCCGAGTTGTGCCCTCCTTTTTCTCGCATATGGTTACTTAGGGCTATGGCTTCTGTCTTCAGGTCCTCCACGGTCTGTAGTTCAAGCTTTTTTGCGAGCCTCTCTATGATGGCGCTATCTGCATTCCTTTTATCCGTCTTCGAAAACGCTACCATCAAGTCCACCGCGAGCTCTATGTCCTGTGTGTCTGTCCGTCTCTTTGCCCTTTTCAGTTGTTTACACAAGAAATCCACCTAAGATGGTAATTTTCAACAACATTCTGTCAGAAATCCCAAGCAAAACAGAGCACAATGACATGGGCAGCAAATCGTCGGATGCTAGCTAACGAGATCAATGGATTATTCTAGCATTGCAAACACACATTGATTTCTACAGAAAAACATGACACTATCTTGTCAAGAGAAACTAGATACCTGTTCCGTCACTTCATCTGAAATCGTCAATTCGTCGAACGGGACCTCAAGCAAAACCTGGTTCAACTTCTCATAAACTGAATGAAACTTGATCATCGTGGATTCGCCATCCAAAGCCTGCATGAAATCATTCACCTGTGAAACACCATTCTCGGGACGAAAATGAATCGCAATGTCTACAGGGGTAACCTAAAGCATTACCAGAAAAATTTTGCTACCGTCGTTGCATGTCTTCAACAATTTCCTCGCCAGGAGAACCACCTTCTTCAAACAAGACAGAAACCGGCCGCAATTATCCGGCAAAGGCGCTTCCGTATCCCGAATCTCCTCCAACAACGGAATCAGAAGCTTCAACCTCCGAACGAGGTTGAAGCATTCCTTCCTCTGCGTCCGTCGATAATCGCTTAGCTGAGCCACCGACTCGATCACCGCCACGATCTCGCTCACCGGATCGCCGTGATCACCACCAGAGGAACTGTCCTCCATCACCGCGACCACCGAGACTTCCTCGACGACGACCTCTCCATCATCTCCGATTCTTCCCGCGTCCATGAACACCGTCAGAGAATCCTTCCCACTCGCTTCGGACCAAATGGGTGAGGGGTAGACACGCGAGGTGAAGGAAACAGAAACCCTAATGTTCGATTTCAGCAATTTGGAGGATGGAGTTGTTCTTTTTCTCCGAAGAAGCTGCCGCTATTGTGGGGAACCACAAAATTCAAAAACTAAAACATTGTAATAACCTAATTTTATTGGTCCACGTGGAAAATACAGCAACTCAATGATAACGGATATTGCGGGTCTAAAATTAGTTCTTTCTCCTCCCATACATATTATCCACCATCAATAATATATATATATATATATATATATATATATATGTATAGTCTCTGTTGAATCTCGCCATTTAATATGTGATTATGTAATTGTATATTATTTTTTACATTGTATATATTGGTAATTGTGTATTATCCACGTCAGAAAACCCCTGGTGCCACTAATATCTGAATTAACATTTGTATCCAATACGATAATTATAGATAAATATCCAAACTACCTGAAATTTTTAATTTGTATAAATTAGTTGATATATATAAATATTATCGTTTGGACGAATTTTGGTACAAAACCAATGGGAACGAAACGAGAGTTTAGAGAGATTTAGGAGGTATCTGTTATATTGCGTATTATTTGTTTTATTTATGGCTAAAATTAAATTTAGTTACTGAATAAATATCTAAAACGATCAAATTGGGGTATTTCTTAGTTATTCTCCCTATCTACCTCTTTATTTTTAAATCATTTCACCTAAACTAGATGAGAATGCACGGGTTATTCTTTTTTATATTTTGATTCTTTTTTATAAAATTTGTTGATATATATATATATATATATATATATATATATAATTTAAAAAAAGTTATCCATATTATATAATAAGGTACATGATTTATATATCTGATGTTATTTTTTATACGTAAATTTTAAATTATCACCTGTACAATGCACGAGTTCTTATTATTTTTATATTTAATTTTTATTGTAAAATTTATTGATATTAATATAGTTAAAAATAAAATTATTGTAATAACTATATCTAAAACATTAAATTAGTAATAAATTATTATTATAATTATGAACATATATAAAGTTGTAGTAAAGTATGCCAACGTTTTTTTATTAGTGGTGTGGGGTAATAAATAGTTTTCATTATAATAGTTAGTAACATAAATAATTAGAATAAAAAAAAATAGTCCATTAACCAAAATAAAAGATGGTGACAAACTTGAATCCACATAATGATATATTCCTTCTTTACACCAACAACAACAATGAATATATCCTAATGAAAATTATTTAATTTTGTTTTGCTTGTTTATTTTTCTAAATATCCTAATGAAAATTATTTATTATCCACTAATAAAAAAACAGTGGCATATTTCAAAACTTAAAAAAATGTGATATTACTACGGCTTTTATATGTTCATAATTATTGTAATCATAATTATAATATAATAGTTAAATTTATTAGTAATATTCGATATATATTTGGATTTTGTTTCTTGATCACTTTCCAAATTTTGTATATTTTTACTTATTAAATTATAAAATTTGTATTTTTGACTTTATTAAATTTAAAATTATTTTTATTTTTGTCTTTTAAAAAACAGAAGATAATATTGAGACGAAGATGTTAGATAATAATGATATTTTTTTCAAAAACATAATAATCATTTAGAATATAATTTTATTAGGGGATATCGCCAAAAAATCTCTATACTCTTCCCAGGTCGATGAAAAAACTCTATACTTTTTTCGTTACTAATTAAATCCTATATTTGGTATGATTAACTCATAAAATCCTAAATTTTTTTAAAAAATTGCCAAAACCCCCTACATTTGACAACGCAAACAAAAATGATGATGTTGTAATGACATAACTTCCAAATTAATATACACATCATCATAATTATATCGCATCATCATTTTTACTCCTTGATAAAGGTTAACTTCGGGTTCATCTTCCCTTTTTCTGGGTTAGCTTTGATTTCTAATGTATTGAGTTTTAATAGACTGAATCTTTGGAGCATACTAGGCAGCGACTTACGATTTACCAAATGCAGCCATTCCTGAATTGAAAATTGAAAAACAAAAAAGAGACGTTTGGTGCAAGATTTTCTTTCAAATAGGGGTTTTTAAGCGTTTTTAAAATGTTTAGATGGGTGGAAATTTATAATAAAATAACATATCATTATTGTCTCCTAGGAAAATCTCAATTAAAAAATATAAATATAATATATAAATCAATTAAAAAAATAAAAAAATAAAAAATAAAAAATACATATATATACATATGTATACATACTTACAAACACGTATACATATATATACATATTTATACATATATATATATATACACATATATTTATATAAATGTATATATATATAAATAAATATTTATGTATATATATGCATATGTATGTATTTATTTTTCTCTTTGCCAATATTACAAAGAAATGTTTAAAAGTGGTGCTTAAAGAAATGTTCACTTTACAATTTTGAAGGCTAGTTCTTCTTGAATCTTCCAGCTTGCACTCGTCTTCGTACGGATACCTGAAACTTTCAACTGAACTTCATGTTCAAGATTAAAAAACTATTTTTAGACAAATGACTCCATATTCTTAAATTTATTAAACTATGGAATAATATACCGAGATACCGTTTTCAATTCATTTTGAGCCAGAATTAGAGCTCGCCTCATCTCTTCATCATACTTTGTTTTAAGATTGAGCTCCTTATTCTCAAAGTCCTGCTTAATACTAATGATCTGCAGAACATGTGGGCATAAGTTAATTCGCAGAAGTTTATATACATTTTAAGATTGAATCTGTAATTAAATAACTTTCAGTTTATTATTCATGGACAAATTATATGTTTTCAACATGGAATTTTTTCAAAAAGCTTAAATACAATGAGTACTAATATTCTTCAAATGTAGACAAAACCTTAAAAGTAATATATATATATGATTATGTGAGTGCTTATATATATATAAGCTGAATGATACAACTGCAAAAGCTGTAGAAGTAATTCAGTATAAGCACTGAGTTTACTGGCAGTGAGATTCTATTTCAGTCGCCACGCTCTCCAACTACCTTACCCTCTACTTCGAGGACCGTAAATATTTTTTATCTTTGAGCCCATTTCCCTTGTATATTTAGCGGTATGATCATCCAAACATAAATTTGCGGTGATAATCAATTTGGTTTTCTCGGATTTTGCTGCTTCTCTTGGAGAGTGGATTTTTGCTGCTTCAAATGTACGTAGATATTCGTCGATGTTATCTACTTGTTCACCGACTAATTCGAGAAAACCAATTTTGTTCGTAGGTCATTTCTTCGTCTCTGCATATATATAACTTCTGCCCGGGCAAGTTTCTTCTTGTAACCTTCCAATTTTTCGAAATCGTG